TCCCTTCCCAGCCTCCCCCCTGCCCCCTAAAAAGGTGTTGAGTTTATCTAATATACGCATCCTCTCAGGAGTTTGTCATTTTGAGAGAGGAGAGCATGATAGTTTACAAAGCAGCTAACAATGTCTCAGAGGTATTCTGGGCTGAAAATTGCTATTCAAATGGACTACTACCTTTTCTCTGAATGCTCCTTAACTTAAGCCAGAGGAGAATAACAGCCTGACTGGATCGTGGAGGGCCTCCATGAGGACTTGCCCGTGGCCCTGACACAAGAGCCCATCTGGCAGAGTGTGAGAGGAAATCCCCATTGTAGCAACTGAAATTTAGACACACCGATTCTGCACAGTATTAGATACATCAGGGAGAATTACTCTGGTCTTTGGTACAAGAATAGTTCTTTTTTTTTTTTTTTTTTTTTTTTTTGTGGGTTGTAGGGCTTGAACTCTGGGCCTGGGTGCTGTGCCTCAGCTCTTCAGCTCAAGGCTAGTGCTCTATCACTTGAGCCCCAGCACCACTTCCAGTTTTCTGAGTGGTTTATTGCAGATAAGAGTCTCACAGACTTTTCTGCCCTGGCTGGCTTTGAACCTTGATCCTCAGATCTCAGCTTCCTGAATAGCTAGGATTATAGGTGTGAAAGAATATTTCTTATAAGAATAGATTATAAGGGGCTGGGAAGATGGCTCAGTGGTAGAGTGCTTGCCTTGCATGCCTGAGGCCCTGGGTTCGATTCCTCAGCACCACATAAGCAAAATAAAAAAGCCGGAAGTGGCACTGTGGCTCAAGTGGTAGAGTGCTAGCCTTGAGCTGAAGAGCTGAGGGACAGCACCCAGGCCCAGAGTTCAGGCCCCACAACCGGACCCAAAAACAAAAACAACAACAACAACAAAAAAGAATAGATTATAAGCTGGGCCCCGGTGGCTCATGCCTGTAATCCTCATCCTCAAATTGTATGCTTCATTTTCAATATACTATCATTGAGTACCATTGCTGCCTTTGTTCACCCTTTGTCCCTCCATTTTTGTGCTTCCCCTTCCCCTCCCAAAGATAAATGAACAAGCAAAACAAAAAGAAAATAAAAACGGCAATAAAAACAAAAAAAAAAAAACTTTGGACTGGGAAGGTAGCTCAGTGGTAGAGTGCTTGCCTTGCATGCATAAGGCCCTGGGTTCAATTCCTCAGCACCACATAAGCAGAAAAAGCTGGAAGTGGTGCTTGGCTCAAGTGGTAGAGCGCTAGCAGCTCAGGGACAGCGCCCAGACCCAGAGTTCAGGCCCCACAACGGACAAAAAAAGAAGAAAAGAAAAAGGAAGAAACAAAAAAAAAAAACCTCTTCTTTCCATTTCCTGGAGTTCATTTCAATAAGCATTATTTGGGATGGTCAGGGGCTCGGAGGCCTTGCGCCTTTGTGTTCCTCCCCTCCGTCTCCTTTGGTCTCGCTGTGTGGGAATGCCAAGAGTGCTGGATAATTGGTCATCCCTGAGCTTTTCTACTCAAACCTAGCACTCTGCCATTTGAGCCACAGCTCCACTCCTGACAGTTTTGGTGGTTCGTTGGAGATAAGAATCTCACAGACTTTCATCCCTGGGATGGCTTTGAACCACAATCCTCAAATCTCAGCTTCCTGCATAGCTGGGCTGACAGGTGTGAGCCACCGGCTCCTGTCCTGGCTCCGAAGTCTTTATGACTGCTGGCCCCGTAGGTTGTTCAGGGGCCATCAGACATGGGTGAGGTGTCTGGGGCTCTCATCTCCCTTCCCAGTCAACCCAGGCCTCAGGAGCCCCTGCTCCCTCCTCCACTCCTCTGCCCGCCAGCAGTGTGAGCGCCTTCCTTCCCTTCACCCCTCGCATGAGCTCAGCCACCCCTGGGCAGGGACAGCTGGTGAGACAAAAACACGCAGGGCTGACCTGACTCTGTCCTGCCTCCTGTCCACCACCTGTGGTGGTGTGGTGGGGCGCAGGTGGCAGTGTGCAGTGTGGCGAGGAAGGAAGGCACCCACAGAAGATACGGCTGTGTGAGGCAGTGACCTCTCTCCCTACAGACACAGCTGCGCAGTTCCCACGCTGTGTGTGACAGTGGTGGCAGAGCTGCCTGGGAGACTGCCCAGGACCCACCACCCTGTAGCAAGGACAGCAGGAAGCCAGCAGTGCCTCGCTTGCCTCTGTGTCCACGGGAACCAGGGCTCACTGAGTTCACCAGTGAATCCACTGTTACAGCTGATGCTGGGGTATAGAAAACATCGCAGAGGGGGCTGGGAAGGTAGCTCAGTGGTAGAGTGCTTGCCTTGCATGCTCGAGGCCCTGGGTTCGATTCCTCAGCACCACATAAGCAAAAAGAAAAAAGCCGGAAGTGGCGCTGTGGCTCAAGTGGTAGAGCGCTAGCCTTGAGCTGAAGAACTGAGGGACAGCGCCCAGGCCTAGAGTTCAGGACCCAAAAAAAAAAAAAAAGAAAACATCGCAGAAACCCAGAAATAAGTATCTAGGTTGAGGCCCCAAATAAAAGACTCTGCCGTCTACCTGGGCACCGGTGGCTCACGCCTGTCATCCTAGCCACTCAGGAGGCTGAGATCTGAGGATTGCAGTTCAAAGCCAGCCTGGACAGGAAAGTCTGTGAGAATTGTATCTCCAATAAACCACGAGAAAACCAGAAGTGGTGCTGGGGCTCAAGTGGTAATGTGCTCTCCTTGAGTGAAAAAGCCTTGAGTTGAAGCCCCATCACCGTCCAAAACAAAACAAAACAACAAAAGGAAGTCAATCCATGCAGATCCAGCAGAGCAGTTCCAGAGGGAAAAGCTGCCAAGGCAGGAGAAGGGCAGGAGAAGGCAACACTTTAAGAGAAGGGGGGCGGGGCTAGGAAGGTAGCTCAGTGGTAGAGCGCTTGCCTTGCATGCATGCATGAGGCCCTGGGTTCAATTCCTCAGCACCACATAAGCAGAAAACAAAAAGCCGGAGGTAGCGCTGTGGCTCAAGTGGTAGAGTGCTAGCCTTGAGCTGAAATGCTGAGGGACAGCACCCAGGCCCAGAGTTCAGACCCCACGACCGGACCTCCCCCCCCAAAAAAAAAGAGAAGGGAGGGGTACATGGAATCCAGAGCCCAGGGTCTGGAGATTCGGGTGCTTTCCCTCCCACAGATGGGAATTCATGGTTTCCTAGCCAAGCACCATGTCTGAGCCTGCAGTGTCCTGACCTGTCCCCAGGGGGTGCTGATGTTCTTGGTAAAAGTGCTCTCTCCACAGGAGGAGGGGTGAGGAAATGGGGCAGGAGGAAGGAAGGAAGGGAACTGGAAGGATCTGTGTCCCAGGTACCCCAGCAGGAGCGAATGATTACAGGACACAGGGTTATGTGTGCACAGGGCACAGGTGTGTTTGCTTTGTTTTTAAAAGATAGTACGTTTTCAGAGCTGGGAAGCTGGCTCGGTGGTAGAGTGCTTACCTCACATGCATTAGGCCCTAGGTTAGATTCCTCAGCACCACATAACCAGAAAAAGCCGGAAGTGGCACTGTGGTTCAAGTGGTAGAGCGCTAGCCTTGAGCTGAAGAGCTGAGGGACAGCGCCAAGGCCCAGAGTTCAGGCCCCATGACTGACAAAAAAGAAAAAAAAATGTAAGTTTTCAGCCAGGCGCCAGTGGCTCACACCTGTCATCCTAGTTACTCAGAGGCTGAGATCTGAGGATCACGGTTCAAAGCCAGCCTGGGCAGGAGCATCTGTGAGACTCTCATCTCCAATTAACCACCCAAAAACCAGAAGCTCAAAGTGGTGGAGCCTTAGCCTTGAACAAAATAGGCCCAGGGACAGTGCCCAGGCCCTCAGTTCAATCCCCAGGACTGGCAAAAAACATTTAAAAAGATGTAAGTTTTCTAAGTGAGCATAGAGGTTCATACCTATAGCCATTGCTACTTAGGAGGCTAAGCCAGGGGTCCAATGCCAGAAGGTAGAAGGAAGGGAGGGAGAGCAGGAAAGAGGGAAAAGGAAGGAAGGAGGGGAAGGAGGGGAAGGAGGGAGGCCTGTGGGGAGCTTACTGGTCAGCCTCATTCATGCTATAAGGGTTAGCAATCATTTTAGAGATAAAATATCATCGCCTGAGGCCTGGAGATGTAGCTCAGTGGTAGAATACCTGTAAGCATGTGCAAGGCCCTGGATTTAATCTCCAACAACACACACACACATACACACACACACACTTGTACAAGATTCTCACTGGACCCCCTAGGTGATATTATGGTTTATGGAGTCATTCATTCAATAACTACTGGTTTATTCATTAACTCAGTAAACACAGTGGTTACTATTTTATCTGTAGGGGGAGGATCTCTTGGTGAATCATGTAGACTAGAGCCTCTGCTTTTGTGCCATTCTCCATTCTCATTATTTGAGAGAACCTGGATCAGGGACCAGAGACCCTTTTCTACTGAAAATAAGAGGAAGCTGGAAATGAGATGAGGCATTACCCACCTCAGGCTCATCCTGTGTGGTTTGCTCCAATCAGGGCATCCCGTTATGCAGATGAGTCTTCTGTGGGGCTAAGACGGCTTTCAATAGGTTGCTTACAACAAGGGCTCAGCAGAACAGTATGTTAACAATACTTAATCACTGAAAATTTTCAAAAGGATGCTTATCACCCCAGAGTCTTTTAACAATATTTGACGATGCTGTAGCAAAAGTATAGAAGTTATTTCTGTCTCTGTCTCCTAAAGAGAGATGGATTTCTTTTTTTCTTTTCTTTATTTTTCTTTTCTGGTCCTGGGGACTCAGGACCTAGGCTCTGTCTCTAGACTTTTTCACTCAAGTGCTCTACCACTAGAGCCACAGCTCTACCTCTGCCTTTTTTTTTTTTTTTTTGTAGTTTACTGGAAATAAGAGTCTCATGGACTTTCCTGCCCCGGCTGGCTTTGAACTGTGATCTCAAGATCTCAGCTTCCTGAATAGCTAGGATGAGAGGTGTGAGCCACGGGGGGGGGGGGGGGGGGGGGGGGGGGGGGGGGGGGGGAAGGTGAGCTCCTGGCACCACTGATCAATCAGTCCCTAAGGAATGTAGCCCAAAGTCGGTCACCTTGTCATTGGTCTGGGCCGAGTCCTCGCTCAGGGCCCTCTCCAGGCTGGTGGGCAATGAGTGGATGAGTCTCTCGCGGAAGTCCTGACCCACGAAGACATAGAGCATGGGGTTGAGGCAGCTGTTGAAGAAGGCCAAGGCACTGGTGGGGTTGATCAGGAGCTCCAGGCTCTGGTACTTCCCTTCCAACAACCTTTCTTTGAGCCAGATTGTGTCTAGAAGGGCAACCAGTTGGAAGGGGAACCAGCAGATGAAGAAGGAGGCCACGACTGCTGTGAGGACGCGCAGGGGCCGGTTGGACGTCAGCAGGCCTCTCCTATGGATCCTGGCGGCGAGGAGCCCATAGCAGACGGCCACCACCGCCATGGGCGCGCTGAAGCCGACGAGGAAGCGGACGGCTCCTCGGGCCTTCAACACAGGGATGGCCACCCTGAGCCTCTCTTCCCTCGTGTCGCCCCAGGCCCTGAAGCTGAAGGTGCAGTACACGTTCCCCACAGGGTCGCTCACGGTGGTTAAGAAGATGATCACCGGAAGGGTGAGGACAAGGGCCAGAACCCAGGGCGCCACAAGAACCTTGCGGGCCAGGCCCACTGAGCGGGAGTTCTGGGCCCAAATGGGATGCAGGACGCACACGCAGCGGTCCAGGGCAATGAATGCGATGAGGAAGACGCTCCCAAACAGGTTGACATCCACCACGATGTGGACGAACTTACAGAGGAACCAGCCAAAGGGCCACCTTTCCTTCATGGCCACTGAGACGATGAGGAACGGCAGCGTGGAGGTGAAGGAGAGGTCAGCCACAGCCAGGTTCAGGTAGCAGAGCGTGGTGACGGAGCGGGCCATGCGGAAGCCAGCCACCCACACCACCAGCCCGTTACCGAGCACGCCCAGCATGAAGGTGACCGCCAGCACTGCCAGGGAGAGCACCCACAGCACCGTGGAGTCCTGGGGGGTGGACGGCACCCCCATAGAGCCGTTCAGGGGAATGGAGAAGTTGGGTTCCATGATGCCGCACCTGGAACATTCCAACTCTGGGTCAGTTCAGCAGAGGTGGGGTGGGGGGGGGAGGGAACCCTGGGGAGCCTATCCACCCCAGGGGGGGGGGGGTGGGAGGGCACAGCTGAGCCTTGGAAGCCAGCAAAACCCGCAAACAAAATGGAGCTCTCTTGGCTGGTCTTTCTATTTTGTTTATTTATTTATTTAGTCAGTTGTGGGATTTGAACTCAGGGCCTGGGTGCTGTCCCTCAGCTCTTCAGCTCAAGGCAAGCGCTCTACCACTTGAGCCACAGCGCCACTTCCATTTTTCTGAGTGGTTCATTGGAGATCAGAGTCTCATGGACTTTCCTGCCTGGGCTGACTTTGAACCGAAATCCTCAGATCGCAGCCTCCTGAGTAGCTAGGATGACAGGTGTGAGCCACCGGCTCCTGGCTTCTATTTTTCTGTACAGCTGTAAATGTGTCATTTTGATGACAAAAGGTAAACTGTAAGAATTGATGTAGTGATCCAAGCTACTCAGGAGGCTGAGATCTGAGGATTGTGTTTCAAAGCCAGTCTGGGCAGGAAAGGCCAGGAGACTATTATCTCCAATGAACCACCAGAAAAGCCATAAGTGGTGCTGTGGTTTAAGTGAGTCTTGAAGTGAGCGGAAGTCTTGAACAAAATAAGCTCAGGGACAGGCCTCAGGCCCTCAGTTCAAGCCTTGGCACACACAAGGAACATATGAGTGATTGCACATGCACGCACGCACGCACACACACACAGTGAAAACGGGAACCTTGTTCTTTCACCAGCTTCCTCTTGTGCTGACACCACAGGATGGAATCAGTTATCATGGAGTGTCAGGAACTGCTGTGTTCTACTCAGCTCTCAATTTGAGCCAATCATCCTAGCCAGTGAGAAGGAACAGGAGCAGTGGGAGACTTGGGAGGCTGGTTGGGCGGGGCGGGGGGGGGGGGGGGCGGGGAATGGAGCCAACTTTCTGAACCAGAATCACTGGTGGAAACAGATTTGAACCCGCCCACCTCTGCTCAAGCACGAAGATGTGTTCAAGTTAAGTGCTGGCTTATGCTGCGTCCTGGAAGATTTCCATTCAGGACCAGGCCTTCCTTCTTGGAAGGCAAATGGAAGCTGCATCTATATGAAGACTAGTGGAAACAGGATCCAATCAGAAAGAAAGACATGCGATTGAGAATTCTTTATACTATCAAATGCTGTGTGTGTGTGTGTGTGTGTGTGTGTGTGTGTGTACGTGCCAGCAATGGGGGTTGAACTGTCATTTGGCTCTTTTGCTCAAGGCTGGCATTCTACCAATTTGAGCCACAGCACCACTTCTGGTTTTCTGGTAGTTAATTGGATATAAGAGTCTCATGGAGGGCTGGGAAGGTGGCTCAGTGGTAGAGCGCTTGCCTTGCATGCCTGAGGCCCTGGGTTCGATTCCTCAGCACCACATAAGCAAAAAGAAAAAAGCCAGAAGTGGTGCTGTGGCTCAAGTGGTAGAGTGCTAGCCTTGAGCTGAAGAGCTGAGGGACAGCACCCAGGCCCAGAGTTCAGGCCCCACAACCGGACCCCTCCTCCCCCCCCCAAAAAAAAAAGAGTCTCATGGACTTTCCTGCCCAGGCTGGCTTTGAACTGCAATCCTCAGATCTCAGCCTCCTGAGTAGCCAGGATGACAGGTGTGAGTCTCTGGTAGGGCCTAGCTGGCCCTACCTGTTTCTTACCCCTCCTATGTCCACTCAGACCCCTATACTCCTCAGTTCACTACCATCTGGGGACTTTGCATGCTCTGCTCCTGATGTTTCCCAGCTTGAATTTTGTGTCCTCAGGGGTCTCATCTGACATGAGATATAAGGCAGCCTCCCCTGATTTTTTGCCTAATTGCCCTTTTGTTCCTGTATTGCCCATCCCCCCAGACTCTGCTACAGGAGGCTAACTCTACAACACTACCAAGTTCATTTGGCCCTGTCCCAAAGCCCACTTTCCATAGAAACACAGCGGGATCAGGAACACCAGCCATGTACTTACAATTTTTTTTTTTTTTTTACTTTGTTTCACTCAGTTACCTAGGGTGACCTTGAACTTCTGATCAGCCTGTCTCTACTTTCTAAGGGCTGGATTTTGGGTGTGGACCACCATACCCAACCATCAGTTTAACAATTTCCTAAAGATTATGTCCAAAACAAAATTTTAAAAAGCAAGTTAACACTCTAGGTGAGCTGGTGGCTCATGCTTGTAATCAGGAGGCTGAGATCTGAGGATCATGGTTCAAAGCCAGCCTGGGCAGGAAAGTCTGTGAGACTCTTTATCTCCAGTGAACCACCAGAAAACCAAGAGTGGTGCTGTGGCTCAAGTGGTAGAGCACTGGGCTTGACCTGAAGACCTGAGGGACAGCACCCAGTACCTGAGTTCAAGTCCCAGAACCAGAAGAAAAAAAAACTGTAGGAAAATTAACCTATTTTATTTAACTCATTGTAACCCAAATATCATTGGAATATGTTACCAAAATAAAAATGATTGATGAGATTATGGATTTTTTCCCATATTCATTCTTTGACTGTATCAAGTGCATTTTGTAGTTGCTTTTGCATTTTGTAGGCAGCTGGGGCCCCGCAGGACAGGCCTGTGTGGGACACAGAACGGGTGTGGAACCCAGGGCAGCTCTGCCTGCAAGTCCTGTCTGTCCTACCACAGGCCTTCAAACAAGTTTTTTTTTTTGGTCAGTCGTGGGGCTTGAACTTTGGGCTTGGGCGCTTTCCCTGCATTCTTCAGCTCAAGGCGAGCGCTCTACCGCATGAGCTACAGTGCCACTTCCAGTTTTCTAATGGTTTATTGGAGATAAGCATCTCACGGACTTTCCTGCCCAGGCTGGCTTTGAACCATGATCCTCAGATCTCAGCCTTCTGAGTAGCTAGGATTACAGGCATGAGCCACCGGTGGCCAGCTCAAACAAGTTTTGAATGGTCAGATCCTCCCAACTTACCACGGACTGAGGCCTCTTCCTGAGCCTGTTCCTCAGCTTCTGTGGAGCCAGTCAGGTTCTCAGCCTTCAGCTGGGGCTGCCGGGAAGGACGAGGAGGAATGAATGAGGAAGAACGATCAGGAAACACAAACTTGGCCTTCCTTAAGGCTCCCTCTGTGGTCTGCTCCTGGGAAAGGACAATCCACACATCCGATATCCAGCCAGCCCTCCAGATGTTCAAAGGCCCTTAGAACAGTTGAAGCAGTTGATGGGCGGGAGACTTGTGCAACTGAAGCAGAGATTTCCTCTGTGGGGGGCGGGGCCCAGCCAGCCAGCCTGATGCCATTTCCCGTGGGCTTTGCCGAGATTTTGCAATGGGGGGGGGGGGGGTGCCACCCTGAGGGGAAGCCATTTCCATCTTTCCTCTTTTCTCCACCTCAAGAACTTTCCCCAGCACACATTGCCTGTGCCATTCTGAGCAGGCTGGGGTCATGGTTTGCAAATCCGGGGAGTGCGGTCTGTCTGTGCGTTCACACACATTGGGAAACAGGTGGTCAGGAGGAACTGGCACCCCATGAGCCCAGCTTCCAGAAAAGCGGTCAGATTTTGAAAGACTTCCAAGACAACTTGGGCCCTGGTAACTCACACGTCTGTAATCTCAGCTCCTCCAGAGCCTGTCGGAGGATCCCAGTGTCTAGAATTGGATCTCTCTCCTCAGGCCCTGGAGGGTGTGTGTGTTTGCTTGTCTTGGTAGTCCTGGGGTTTGAACTCAGGACTTTGGATTGAACAGGCAAGGGCTTGACCAAGCCACGCCCCCCCCTCTCCAGCCCTCAAACACTTCACTTCTTCTTCTTTTTTTTTTTTTTTTTTTTGTCGGTCGTGGGGCTTGAACTCTGGGCCTGATTGCTGTCCCTCAGCTCTTCAGCTCAAGGTGAGCGCTCTACCACTTGAGCTACAGCACCACTTCTGGTTTTCTGGTGGTTTATTGGAGATAGGAGTCTCACAGTCTTTCCTGCCCAGGCTGGCTTTGAACCGCGATCCTCAGATCTCAGCCTCCTGAGTAGCTAGGATTACAGGCGTGAGCCACCAGCGACCGGCACACTTCACTTCTTAAAGGGCCCAGCCCACTCCTCAAATTCCAGTAAAACAGGGGTAACATTGGTATGTTCTAGGGGTCATCGTGAGTCACCCGGGGAGTCCTGGTTTCCTATTTCCTCTTGCCCCTTTGGTTTTACTTCCTCTACCCTGCCCTATTTATCTAGAGGTATCTTCTGCTGATGTCACACCAGCTAGCCGTTCTCCCGAGACCAGGACTTGGAAGGAGCCTGAGCGAGTGAGCGAGCGAGCAAGCAAGAGAGAGAGTGAGCGTGAGGACCCCAGCTGCTGGAACATCCAGGTTGGGAACCCATTCTTGCTGGGTGGGGAGTGAGGGGATGGGCACTGTGTTGCATGATGAGGTATATAATCAATAGGTCTGGAGCGAACCACAGAGAAGTGAATCCCAACAACAACAGCAGCACTCTTTGTGAAGGAGAGTCAAGGAAAGTAAAGAGGGAAGTGAGACTGAAGAGCCATTTTGTGAAGGGTAAAGTGTTCCCACTCATATTATTATTAGGAATGATAGAGAGAGCTTATCAGCCAGGTGTTCGTAGCTCTCACCTGACATCTTAGCTACTCAGGAACCTGAGACCTGAGGATCTTTGTTCAAAGCCAGCCTGAGAAGACACATTGGAAAGATTTTTTTTTGTCAGTTGTGGGCCTTGAACTCAGGGCCTGGGCACTGTCTCTGAGCTCTTTTGCTAGTATTCTACCACTTTGAGCTACAACAACTCCACTTCTGGTTTTTGAGTGGTTAATTGAGAGATAAAAGTCTCTTGGGGACTTTTTTGCTTGGGCTGGATTTGAACCAAGATCCTCAGATCTCAGCCTCTTGAGTAGATAGGATTACAAGCATGACCTGTAATGAATCAGCAAAATGCTGGAAGTGGAGGTATGTGTGGCTCAGTAGTAGAGCTCCAGCCTTGAACAAAAAAGCTGAGAGAGGTCCTGAGTTCAAGCCTAAGTACTGGCACCAATATCTATCTATCTATCTATCTATCTATCTATCTATCTGTCTGTCTGTCTGTCTGTCTGTCTGTCTGTCTGTCTGTCTGTCTATCTATATGTGTATACATATATGTGTACATGTGTGTATACACACATATACAAACATATTGGTGCTGCAGAAAGATGTGAAGGAATAGAATGTTTTTGAGGGATTGGGCTGGTCAGACTTGGAGTGAGGATGGACCTTGGACTCTGACACTTGTTTCCAGAGATCAGTGGAAATACAGGTGTACTTCACCACACCCAGCTGGCTTCTTTTACTTTTTTCTTTCTTTTCCCTCCTGCTGGTCCCTGGGGCTTGAACTCAGTGTTTGGGTGCTGTCCCTGAACTGTTTTATTTCATTAGTGGAAACTGTCCCTGAACTCTTTTTTAATGGTAGATTTATTTATTTATTTGTTGGTCATGGGACTTGAACTCTGGGCCTGGGTGCTGTCCCTCAGTTCTTCAGCTCAAGGCTAGCACTCTACCACTTGAGCTACAGCACCATTTCCGGCTCTTTTCTGCTTATGTGGTGCTGAGGAATCGAACCCAGGGCCTCAAGTATGCAAGGAAAGCACTCTATCACCATCTTCCCAGCCTGGTAGTTTTAGTTTTTACTTTTGGTTGGTTGTGGGGTTTGAACTCCAGACCTGGGCACTGTCCCCAAGCTCTTCAGCTCAAGGCGAGTGCTTTATCACTTGAGCCACAGCGCCACTTCTGTCTCTCTCTCTCTCTCTCTCTCTCTCTCTTTTTTTTGGTGATTTATTTGAGATAGGAGTTTCACGACTTTCCTGCCCAGCCTGGCTTTGTTTGACCTGTGAACCTCAGCTTTCAGCCTCCTGAGTAGCTAGTATGACAAGCTTGAGCCACCAGCAGCTGGCTTCATTCCTTTTTATGGTTGAATAATATTCCATTGTATGGACATACCACAGTGTGTGTGTGTGTGTGTGTGTGTGTGTGTGTGTGTGTGTGTGTGTGTGTGTGTGCGCGTGTGTGCATGCAAGTGCTTTCTCACTGATGGACGCATGGGTTGTTTCTGTCTTCCAGCTATTGTGTATAGCCTCAGCTGGATTGCCTGCCTTCCCTGTACTCATTCTTGCCCAGTGTTTCCCTCTGAGGGGCAAGGTTCTTTTCCAAGCAAGTAATCTGTCTAGTGGACAGGGAAGCCCACCTGACAAGAGCTTGGCAAGCTGTAGATATGGTTAGCTGCAGGGGTGGGGGGAGAGGGGGCATAAGGCAAGCTTGAGCCCCCTGCTGGTCAGTGTGGTGAGGAAGGTGAGGGAGAATGAGAGGGAGAGGGGTACAGGCTGAAGGGTGGGGAGGGGGGAGCCGGTTTGCAGTTCCCCATCTCCAATCTGCCCCTGGCTACCTTCTAGGTGTGACGGGATGGAGGCCAACTTCTCCCTTCCTACCAATGCCTCCGCCCCGGCTGCGCGGGCCGTCTCTGCTGGCTACGTGGCGCTGGATGCGTTCTCTTACTTGGTGATGGCAGTCACCTTCGTGCTGGGCGTGCTGGGCAATGGACTGGTGGTGTGGGTGGCTGGCTTCCGCATGGCCCGCTCTGTCACCACGCTCTGCTACCTGAACCTGGCTGTGGCCGACCTCTCCTTCACTTCCACGCTGCCCTTCCTCACGGCATCCAAGGCCTTGGGCCGGTGGCCCTTCGGCTGGTTCCTTTGCAAGCTCATCTTCACCGTGATAGATATCAACCTGTTCGGGAGCGTCTTCCTCATCGCGCTCATCGCCCTGGACCGCTGCGTGTGCGTCCTGCATCCCGTGTGGGCCCAGAACCATCGCACGGTGGGCCTGGCCCGCAAGGTCATCGCGGTACCCTGGGCATGCGCTCTGCTCCTCACCCTGCCAGTGATCATCCGCGTGACAACGGTGCCCCAAGCCGGAGGACGAACGGCCTGCACCTTTGACTTCTCGCCTTGGACCCGGGACCCCGCAGAGAAGGCCAGGGTGGCGATTGTCATGCTGACCATCCGTGGGATCATCCGCTTCATCGTGGGCTTCAGTGCACCCATGGCGGTGGTGGCTGTCTGCTACGGGCTCATCGCTGCCAGGATGCGCCGTCAGGGCCTGCTCAGGTCCAGCCGGCCGCTGCGTGTCCTCTCGTTCGTGGTGGCCGCCTTCTTCCTCTGCTGGTGCCCCTACCAGCTCGTGGCCCTCGTGGCCACTGTCAGGATCCGGGAGCTCTTGGGCGGCGTGGGGAGCGATCTGGCAGTGGCTGTGAATGTGACCAGTGCCCTGGCCTTCTTCAACAGCTGCCTCAACCCCATGCTCTACGTGTTCATGGGGAGGGACTTCCGCCAACGGCTGCTCCACTCACTGCCCGCAGCGCTAGAGAGGGCCCTGAGTGAGGACTCCGCCCAGACTAGCGACACAGGGACCAATGATGTGGCACCTCCCGCAGGAACTGAGGAACGGGCAGTGTGAAGGCAGGAGGACGGGCTCCCTATCCCACTTCCTGCCTCCACTTACCTCGTGTCCACCTTACTGTCTGCTGAATTTAGGGTCAGCCATGCGTAAGGGGGAAAAATACACTCCCTGATTTGGGGGAAAAATACAGTAGACTGCCGGGTGTCCGTGGCTCACACCTGTCATCCTAGCTACTCAGGAGGCTGAGATCTGAGGATCATGGTTCAAAGCCAGCACAGACAGGAAAGTCTGTGAGACTCTGATCTCTAATAAACCCCCAGAAAACCAGGAGTGGTGCTGTGGCTCAAGTGGTTAAGTGCTCGCCTTGAGCTGAAGAGCTGAGGGACAGCGCCCAGGCCCAGAGTTCAAGCCCCATGACTGACAAAACAAAAAAAGAACTATAGAAGACTGCAGGGGGGCAGAAGAAGAGCCAGTCCAAGCAATTGGAGCCAAGGCCAGGTTTCAGAGGCTCTGCTCCCAGTGACGGCCTCGACCTGTCCCCTGTGGAGTCACACACGTGGCCCCAGGCAGGATTTCAGGTCCCAGTTTTCCCAGGAGACTTGCACATGACCAGATTGGGCCCCAGAGCTGGCCAAGTGCCCAGTCAGAGGGGTAAAAGGCATAGGGTGAGCACACCGGGGCTGCGTGGTGCCTGAGATTGAGCCTGAGGCCTGACACTGCCCACAAGAGTGCCTTACCCATCTTGACAGTCCCACAGACACCTCCTGGAGACTCCCCCAT